TTTAGGGTAGACAGCGATGTGCAATGTGATATTTACCGGCAAGTGTTGAGTTTCTGTTTAGACTCTGCTCTCTCCGCTCGCAGTCTGTCTTCCTAGAGAAGGGCTGGAAAACTTGGGGAACGTTGGTGGAGGAAGTTCTCTGCTTAGCTTCAAGACACTCCAGATGCCCGATTTGTCCCTAAACTTGGCTTATGGTCTTAATGAATTCTTTGTATAACTTTTTCTCTGCAATTTCCACGCTAGGCTTTGATTTTAGTTTCATTTGGGATCAGTTTTCAGTTTGGAGAGCAATTCATATGCTATTGATCTCAGCCAGGTCGGCCTCAGTGGCCTCTCTATAATCAGGTCCACATGGCCTTTCTTAGGAGTCTGGGCCGCTTCTCCATCTCATCTGCGTTCCGTCACCCCAGGTAAGTGTGGGCGGTTGGGTCCAGGAGCCCCAGGATGGTAGCGTTTGTGGGTGGGGCGTCTGCTGTGCAGAGTGGCGCAGTATTCGCACATATGGCCCTCGCATCCTTCCACACCCGCTGAGACAGCTCCAGCCTGCTCGGAGGCTTTCTGTGAGGGAGATGCTATGGGAACGGCGGCGTGCAGCGCTGGTTAGGGAATAACCAGGACAGAAAAGCCTGTACCTTTCCAGTACAGGTTCAAGTTTTCCGAATATTTTCCGTCTGGAGCTGGAATCCAGGCTGACTGTGTCCGAAAGGCTTTGCACGGAAGTGCTCTGGACTCTAACCCTCACTTCATCGCCTCCTGCTGAGGAGGACCATTCCCTGACTCCTTCTCTCTTCTGCTAGGTATTCAGAATGCAAGCATAAAGTGGAAGAGGAAAGTTTGTCCGAAACAATGCCAACTCCCAGAGAAGGAACCTAATTCTGTCAATATTAATGATCTGTGGCCACTCGAGCTCCGTCCATTATTGCAGACTTGGCACATTTGCTCTTGGTCCCCTAAACAACTACCAAACCCTAAATGATGAACTTTAGGACTAAAATTTGCCCTCTGTGAAAAAGATCAGATGATAAAAATTATAAACATGTGAATACTCGAAAGTCTGTTTCTTTTGGCAGAAGATCTACAATTGGAAATTTTTTCTGTGTTGCATAGAACTCTAGTTTTACACTTTTACCTATTTGTAAAATAATCTTCAAAAGTCAGCAAATTTCCCCTAGATTACTATTTTTTAACCTTGAGTGGAAAAATGAACACAACTTGAATACTGGTGTCATTTTTTTCAAATTTTGGTAAGATATTTTTAAAGAAGTCCTCAATTATATCCATGTGGAATCACGGCTATTCCAACTATAAAATAAAAGATATTAACACCAATTTCCAAAAAGCTTTTCTGAAAGACTAATTTAAAATTGACATGATGGCAATGAAAACTACATTAGTAATGAGCAAATCATCCCGTGTGAGCACAAGTGTGACCTCTGCCTCCCTGCGGCAGGCTGACGGCAGAAGCTGACTTCCCATTTGTCTCTATATCCTATTAAAATCGAAGTGAAAACTATAAGATGGGATGCATTCATACAAGCAATAAAGCCTAGAAAATAAGGCACAGTTAGAACTGAGAGTTAAAAATGTGTTTTGGGAATGGAAAGGGGTTGAAAAAAAGGAGAAAAAAAGGAATTAAGATGTGCTGTGTGTGTGTACAAACTCCACAATAACTGTCATCATTGTGTACTGCAAACACAGGCTAAAAAAAGTGCACAGTTGATTAAAAAGAAATGTACTCAAAGCCACCACGTGATGTCCAGTCCTCTAGTTAGGATGGCTACTGTCATGAAGAAACTAAGTGCATGTGACAATCGGCAGAGAAGCCACCTTTGTGCCCTGTGGGGGGAATATAGATTAGCATAGCTATTGTGAAAAAAATCAAAAGCAGAAATATCATACAACCCCGCAATCCCACTCCTGGTTATGTATCCAAAGGAAATGAAATTGGTGTGTGGAAGAGTCAGTCAAACTCCTCTGGTCCTGAGGAGCCATTTACAACAGCCAGGAAATGGAAACTCCAACCAGTGTCCACTGATGGATGGATAAAGAAAACACAGTTCATAGACATGATGGAATATTACTCAGCCACGAAGAGAGGAATGAAATCCCATCACTTGTGCTGATGTGGACAGAACTGGAGATAATTACGTTTAGTGAAATAAGCCAAGCACAGAAAGACAATTGCCACACAATCTCACTCAGAAATGGAATCTGAAAAATAGCAATAATGCCCTGGGCATTCAAAGATTCTGAACGTCTTTGCCACAGAGAAATGATAAACATTTGCAGTCATAGACATAGTTAAGCAGGTTTTAACATGATACCACGTGTACATGTATTGAGACCTCACCTGGAACCCTAAATATGCACAGCTTTTTAATTTTATGTATGCTTTAAAAATAAATTTCATTTTAAAAGTCCCCTGAGGAAGATGCTGAACAGTTCCCTGGGGACGGCTAAGCAGCAGGCACGAAGCAGCTGTGGGGGGGCAGACTGGGATCCCACAGGCACCGAATGCCCTGGGAGGGTGCACAGTTAGTGCACTTCGAAACCCACAGCCGCCTGCACACTTGGGTTGATCTAGTAAGTACGCAGATAGGAGCAGAAAACCAGGGACTAAGAATCGTGTGTCTGCCCTCCTAGTGCAGGGAGCCCAGAACCCTGAACTTCCTCTTCGTGAAGGGGTGGGAGAGAAGAATATTGGCCAGAGGAGGGAGAATAATGTTTTATCTCCACCTTGCCTAGAGGGAGGTCTACAGATAATGCTTAAGACCAAAAAATCTAGGCAAATATATAAAACTTGCTGCTTTCAGAATTGTGGGTGAAAGGGAAAAAACTGTCTTCCAGAAGAAAGCATTCGAAATGGGGGAGGTGGAGGAACTTTTTCTTGTTTTGTACAAAAATCTCTTGAAATATCTGAACTTTAATATATGCGCATGTAAAACTCTGAATAAAAAATTTTGTTAAAAGTATGGAGAAGGAGGGGAAAAAGAATATCAACTGCGGCAATCGAAAAGGATTCATTTATTGGGTAGCATTAACTTCATTCTTCTTTCTGAAAAGACTATAAATTAGCCAGCCCGCTTGTGAACAGCGGCGGAAGAATGTCTTACTTAGACATTGTTTGAGATATTCTGTCTGTTAACATCGTAAAACGTTGATCTAAGTGACCTTCAGTTCTTATTTTTATAATCATGGTATAAACTCATTTCATTGTAGAATATAGTATTGGGAAACATATGTTTCAGTAAATGATTAGCCTACTAGTGAGGTATCTGAAAAACAAAAAGAAAATATCATACAATAGAGATATTGGTGCTGCAGGACTCATTAATCCAGTTTTTTTTTTTCCATATTCTTCCTAGGCGAAGGTGAAGTTTACCTTTGAATGCCTAAGAAGAAATGAATATTGTAAGCATCATTATAAGGATATCTTGGTCATTTCTTTAAAAGAAACAGAAGATTGAAGAGTGTATTATTGAAAAGATTCTTTTGTATTAAATAAGTAGATTGCATAGTTAATTTATGGAATCAGTGCTCATTAGGTATCTGTTTTGTTCAGGCATCTTGCTACACATTGGGAAGGGAATTCTGAAAATGCACAGCTCATGCTTTTACCTTGAAGGACAAGTAAGGAAATTGACATGAAATTTGTGTTTAAAAGAAAGCAATACTCGCTGCATTGAAGAGTCAGGCAAATCATGCTAGGAGACCAGAGAGTTGGCCTCACCTGGAAAGGTTCATCTGAGATGCAGTGAAGGAGAAATTAGCTTTAGATAGGTGGTGAGGGTGGAGACTGGAGGTCAGAGAAGCACCCTGGCCTGTGAAATGCACTCAGGTGCTCTGGGAAGAGCAGAGTCTGGGGAGAGGAGAGGTCTTTAGATTTTACGACATGGGTGGAGACAATGAAATGCTGTTGATAATTATTATTATTGGCAGTAGCTATATTTTTCAGGTTGTTTCTGCCTGCTAGAAAAATCTCATTGAATCTTCACACCTATACTTATTTTTGTTTTTTAAGCATGAGATGATAATGATAAAATTTGTGGAGAAAATTCATTTTAGCACTCATGACAAAATATTTCAATAGGACGAGAAAAATCAGACACAAATGGCTTACACAGCCCTGTCAAAGTGTAATTAATATACAATACAGCAAGGCGCAAGACTGGGAAGAGTAGAGATAAACAGTTGTTTTATGCTCTTTGTCACTTTGAATGTTTCAAAATACTCACTTAATTTTAAAATGGGGACAATGTGTATTGTCAAAGAAAGAAGGAGAAAAGGAAGGGAAAAGAGACATCGTAAGGAGAAAAAGAGCAAGAGAACAAGAGAATGAATGAGAGGAAGATGATCACTGAAAAGCAGATTTGGGGGTGGGTTGGAAAGAGAAACCATGAGCAGAAAGATTCCTCCTGCATCGTCCCAGACAGAAGTTAGTAAAGACTCTGATTCAGTCATTTGTAGCATGACCAATGGAAAAAGTGGTGAAACCCTTACAAAATACAAAGACAGCTCCTCTGTGGATGGCTGTGGCGTAAGAAAGATGAAGCACAGTTAGGAAACCTGGTCCCTCTAGTTACGGCATTGTGACTGGTTGGTTAGTTCACTTCGCATTGCTAGTGAATGTCAGTTTATGCACTGCATTAATCAGCCACATTCTTGTTAAAGGAAAAGGATGGGTGAATATTATTGATCTCCACCATGGCTCAGAACCACGAGTTCTGCTTTTGACCCAGCGAAACCTTTCATTCTGTGTGCACAGCCACCTAGACCGTTCACGGTGCAGCTGACAGGAAGCTAAAGGACACATCCAAGGACACAGCCCCTCTGGCCTGAGGCCATGGTTGACCATTTGTCCACATTGTATTGCCTTGCTTGTCCTTGACACCCAATTTAATCGTTATGACCTAGGGGTAAGGATGTTGATTTAAAGCGCGGCTCTCCTGGGCTCCCCTACCTTGCTTCCTGCCTCTGAACCCTCTCTTTCTCCTCTGCAGGGCTCTACGAAACCTTCCTAACCAATGATGAACCAGAGTGCTGTGACGTCCGGAGACAGGAGCAGTCCACCCCCCCACCCGGAGGGTCGGTAGAGAGAAGGGACAGCTGTCATAGGACATCGCTCACAGTGTCCTCCGCCACGAGACTGTGCAGCGGGAGGCTCAAGCTGTGTGTCCTTGTACTGATTCTGCTGCACACGGTGCTCACGGCCTCGGCTACGCAGAGCACTGACTGCCTGGGTCTGGGCCGCATTACCACGCTGGACGACAACTCCGCCAAGGAAGAGTGACCCGAGCCGCAGCCAGCCCTGGCCCACCTGAGAGAGAGACGCAGCCGCTGTCCGAGGAGCAGAAGCTGGGTGCTTTTACCCTCCAGTTACTTCTCGCGAGGTCTTTAGGGTAAAACTTCAAAAAGATGGGCCTGATTCCAAACGAGGACACACACACCGCAGCTTTCTATTGACGGGAAGGCTGCCAAGGGACTTCGATTTCTCACGCCATTTTATACACTGTGTTTTAATGTTTGGAGGTTTTCTTTGCTTTCGTTCCGGTCTGTGTTTCTTCATTTGTTTTCTTTTATTTTTCTGCACTTGTTAATTAATACGGGATTTATTTGGGGGATGGTTTCTCAGAGCTAAACCGAGTCTTCTCAGCGTCTGTATGGCTCTCTCTTTCTAGCCATTGTGTGTTCATCGATTGCTCTGTCTTTATGTCCTGTCAGTTTCTATTAGAGGAATGACTGCTGTGACCTCGTGGTACAGCAGACAACAACAACAACAAAAAGAATAAAAAAGAAAAAAAGACAAAAAAAAGAGAAAACAACAAAAAATACAAATAAAAACTCCCCTAAGTCTGTCCCTAGACCCCACTCCCTCCCTGGCTGTCCTTCCGGTCCCCCTGCAGCCCCGACACACACATCCGCTTGGTTGTGCCTGTGGAGGCACGGTGGCGGGGCGGGTGTGCCCCAGACCCGCACACGGACAGCAAGGCTGGCGGGCGCCTTGCAGCTGAGCGGACGGGACGCCCTGTGACCTCGGAATCAGACCGCCCTCGCATTCTTATGTTGAAAGGGGGAAGAGGGACAATTTGTCAAAAGCCCTCATGCACAGAGTTGCTCTGGTCTCATTCCCACGCACCCCAGTCCTTTCCTACTGGCCGCCTAGGCAGGAGGCCCCAGCCTGCACAGGGGACAGGGAGTGGCCCCAGGACGCAGGGAGGCTCTGCCCACTGTGAGGTCGGCTCTGGTCACCTGGGAGCACATTTTGGCCATTGCCATGAGAACAGAGGCCCAGGACACAAACCCAGACTTCTCTGGCTCCTGTGTCATGGTGGAAGATTCTAGAACTGCTCAAACATCGGCAGGACGGAGGATAGACACAGTTTCATCCCAGTATTTCCCCAGTACAGGGTTTTAAATTACTCCAGGTCTAAACTGTATGCAATTCTGCATCATCACACAGGAAAAACTTCTTTTTGTAAAAAAAAAAAAAAAAAAAGATCAGCCGTTTTTATTACCGCGAAAAAACTTTATCACTAATGTTTAGGGAGTGGAGGAAATGAGAAGTCTGATCACTCTGTTTGTATTTTATTTTTTCTTTGTGGGAACATTTCACCTGCTGAGTGTATATGAATTTGCTTTCTATAAAAAGGCTTTTATGAGTTTACAGTAGAATCAGTGGAAGGAAGAGTTAACAAGGGCTGTTTTTAAAAAACAAACAAACAAAACAAATAATTAAAAAAACATTTTACATTCCTTCCTGTTCTCTATCTCCATTGGGAAGTGCACTTCAGAAAAGCTGGCTGTGTGGCTGAGAGATAAAGGAAATCCACAGAAAAGGTCCTCTTAGTGAACAAAATTTAGTTATTAACTTTATAGATATGAAATTCCCCCAGGCATTTGTTTTTGTTCAGACAGACTTTATCCTCTGCATCAAACTTAACCCTGCAACATGCGTACAGTATGCATATTTTGTTTTGAATAAAAAATGTTTTGTTCCAGTCTGTTAAGAATATTCAAAAAAAATAATAAAGGTATTGCTTAATAAAATTGCTAGAATTGTTTAGCAGTACATGCACAAATATTTTACTAGATTCTTTGTTTTAATAGTGTTTTGTTGAGACTGAAAATCCTAAAATGGTCCTGCGCAAATACAAAAAAAAAGCAAAAATCTCCAGTTTTTGTTCCTTTTCTTGAAAACTTCTTTCCCCTACAAATACAAATAGAGTCATGTGCACATGTATGGACACATTTTTAAGTGCTGCATTTTAATTTGTGGAAGTTCAGAGCTCTTCTGGGGATGGACATGCAGACATGAGTGGCTCTGGGGGACACTGATTGTACCAAGCTGCTGACTCCCAAACACTGTGGAGATGAGAGTTTCTGGAGCCCTGACCAGAGATGGATCATAGGTTTCAGTGGGGCGGCAGAGAAGTGGACAGGAAATGGGCGAGTGTGGGCCAGAACTCTCCAGGGGCCTGTCACTCACATGGCATTCAGAGGGCTTTTAGGTGAGTGGCCAGGAAGACATTTGTTAGGACCTCCACCTGACTCTGCTGGTGTCTTTAACGCCCTCCTGCTCCCTCTGTCCGTGCTGTAGACATTTCTGTTGTCAATGAAAATGCCACGTGGCAAAAGGGCCAGAATACAAATCCCTCTTCCTACCATGACAAGCACCTACTCTTTCTAAACACTCTGCATGATGATGAAAAAGAGCATGCTTGCAAAAAAAACACCCCAGCATTTTGCTCTTGCTTCATATCTTTTGCGACTGATTAAAGTTCTTGTCCTATACAAGGAGACTGGCAGTTTCCACTTCCTCATGATTTAGCTTTTGTTTAGAGAAAATGTCAGTTAAAGACAGGAAACAAGAAACACTGGGTTATGTGAAAGGTAAGTCCCCAAAAGATGATTTTCAGAATTGGGAGAAACTGTAAATACAAACCCGTGATGCAGGCAAGAGGAGGATCATAGTGATAGTGAGGGAAGGACTCTTTTCTCTCCAACAATTCGGCTCACACTGCAGCAATCTGCAGTCCCCATAGGATGTCTTCCCTGTCCTTCCATTTATTCTCATTCGAGGAGAATGGCCTCAGTGCCGGGCCTGCATTATTACAAGTGTGTGACCATTCCCCAAGAAGTTTCCACAGAACTCGGCGAAGGAAGGCAGTTGGCTGCAGTTAGCAGGGGTCTGAACAGGTTACAACCCTTTACAAAGCAAAGAAACTATTGTCGGCCAGAGATGCAAATTTCACCCACACAACAACCATGTAGTGGTTTCCTGGCACACACATGAGCATGCTGGGAAGTGAGCACACATTAGTTCGGACAGAGTAAAGTCAGAGCTGGCTGCTTTGTTTTCATTGTCTTGGCCCAGTTTCCTCATAGTAGGGATCCACTACATATTGATGATGAACTACAGTATCAGAACAATTACTTTTACAAGCAAGTTGAAAACTAAGAAAACAATATTTGTTTCATAAATGGGTGGAACAGATTTTCCTGTGTTTACGATTGTCTTTTTTTTTGACAAATGGGAAATTCCATTTGTGGAATATATCGGTACTGCGAAGCTAAATGTCAACTAATACAGTAGAGTGATATATTATTTTTTACTGCATTACATTTTGGTGACTCATTCTGCTGACTTTGATTTCATTAGATGGGCAGTATTTTCCCCTAACTATTTGCTAAGTGACAGTTGTTCTATTACATGACATCATTACAAAGGACAACTTGGTTTCTTACCACTGAATTAATAGCTTGAAGTACTAGAAACAGTAGTCCTGAAAATAAAAGAACGGAGAGAGGCAGGGAGAGAGGGAGGGAGGGAGGGAGGGAAAGACAGAGATTTATAAATGACCAGATAAGAACCTCTCTTTTGCCAGGGGAAAGTGAGTCGAGAGCTGAAGCTGGATGCCAGCCTGTGGGGCACGCAAGCGCCTGAGTTACCTGATGACCTTTGGTATCTGAATAACATTAAGACAGTCACTGGTCTTAGACATGATTTTCATCTTTTCTGTGTAGCAACTAGGCCTACAGTGCTCTTGCTACCAAGAATCAGCACAGAATCTACACAGAAATGAAACGTGTATCTTGTCTTTACTACCATGGCAGCTAAATATTGGACTTCCCATGCACACATATCTATGTGGAAAGAAGGGATTATATATGCAATGGCGTAGCTTTCCAGAGGTGTGAAGATATGGAGCATTTGTGTACACGCATTAGTCAGAAGTGGAACTGGAACCACACAAGTCTTTGGTCCATCCATAACGATGCATGCACAGGGCTATGGGGAGCAATTCCTGTGAGTATGGGAGCAGAAGCTCATTTAAAACCCATACCTACTTTGATATGGAAAACAGACTCGCTCAAAATGTCTCCATTAGTGGAGGAAAAATAATTTGGAGAGAGCTGGTACCACTTCCATCTTCCAAGCTTTAATGATGTTTAGAAAAAATGCAATATGGCCTGTGAGTATTGGGCAATGGTGAATAACAAGGCTTTCATGGCAAGGATGGAAAAAAGGGAGTACACTTTAAGGCAGTATTTCCAGCATATTTATCAGAAACTAGCAAACGCTGCCACAGTGTTCTAGAAATTCTCCACATGATAATAACATGTAGATATTCCTCTGAGACTTGGAATAAAACTCCCACAAGCATTAGAAATGAGCTGTGTTTGTTCTTGACATGCTTCAGGGCTATGCCTACTTCATACAAGACATTCACATTAAAATTGAAAGAATAACACTTTGTCCAAGGCCACATAGATAGATGGAGAAACGGTAGAAAGCTTAATTTAAGATCACAAATTCTAGCTGTGTTGGTGCATGCCTGTAATTCCAGCATTGTAACACTCAGGAGGCTGAGGCAGGAGGATTGCCGAGAGTGCCGACAGTTCAAGGCCAGCCTGGGTTACACAGTGAGTTCAAGGCCAGCCTGAACTATAAAGCCAGACCTTGTCTCAAAAGAACAAAACAAAGATTGCAAATACTGAGCACCAGATCTGGATCACCACAGGATGTCAGCATCCTTTGAAAAAGAATGCCTTTTCTCCAAATGCTGAGATATTTATTAAAATCATTAAGTTTTAACTTAAAAATTCAAAACTATCAACAAGAGATATCCATTGTCATTGGGCTCGTCTTCCCACTTTAAATTTGGTTACAGTGTTTTGCTCTTCTATGATGCAACATTTTGGAAATAATGGAAGGGTCTCTGGGAATATTTTGATGAAATCCACAGCTGGAGCAGAGTGGAAGTATGGGGCTGTTTGTGCTTTTCTTTTTCAGTGTGGAAAGAGGCACAAGAGTAAAGCCACAGCTTGATGCAAGCTTTCGCACCTCTTACCTAGGAACCCCAGAGGTTGATGCTAGCTTAGAACAGCTCAGGAAAGAGAGGAACTGAGCAACTGAGAGGATCTCATGCAAGCAACTGAGGCTCAAGAGAGAGGAAGCAATGACAAGTTCCCAGACAGGAGGAGCCCCAGTCAGGGGCCCCAATTGTTCCTCTGAGGTCTCTGCCTCCGGGATGGCGCCCAGAAGTCCTTCAGGGTCTCTGAAGAGCACTGGTTTAATGTCTCCAATACCTGAATATTTTAAAAAGCAACTCTGATCTTTGGTCTAGCAAAATGACCATTGGTCTTTAAAAAAAAAAATTACATGTGTAAGATCTTACAGGTGTTCCGGAATGAGAGTGAGCTCTGATGACTTTTAAAGTAAATAGCTTTCCCTTCTTTTGCGGTCCTCTCCCGAAAACTGCAGATCCTAAGCCAAAGGAGGAACAGGCGTAGGAACCAGTGACGGCTTTGTGTGCAGGTGTAAACTGGCCTGGGGTGGCAGTGGACAGTCACACAGCTCCCGTGGATTTTAATGTTCTTGTAGATTTTTTAATAGGCAACTTTGAGGTCTCCGGATTCCTGACACAACAAGCGCTGTGCTAGATTTAAGTTTATGCAGCACTGGTATCTCTCTCTACAGATATGTGCCTGAATTAACCTCTTTTGTCTTAAATGAATACTGTATTTTTGCAGACTAAAATCACAGAGAAAAATCAGGAAGCCTGTGAGTTCCTAATGAAGCATAGGTAAATGAGTTAAGCAGGGCTCCTGATTATATTTGCTCCTTTCACCAATTTCTATTTACTGATTGATCGATTGATTGTGAGGCTGAGTGTCCAACCTGAGCCTCACATATCCATATCCGGGTAGGTGCTCTACCCCTGAGCCACACCTCCAGCCTTCTCTAATCCTTCTCTCTTCCCAGTCCACATGCCTTACAGGCATTTAGTGTATTTGCAAATATTTTGCCCCTTCTGAACTTCTAGGTCTAACTAACATGTTCAGTGCTCTCCAATTGAGCACCACAGAGAATGACAGGCTGTGAACCTTGAGCTACGCCATGGACTTCCTCTGGGGACTGTTTCTTCTACAGTATCCAGCTCACAGTAATGCTGGCTGCCTCCAGAGCCCTGGGGTCTGAGCTGCATAACTAGAAGTCACTTGCTCTGAAAAACACATTTCAGATTATGTC